GCCTCGGGCGGGGCGGGGCCGAGAGGCGGCCCCGCTCGCTGCTGCCCCTTGCGCTCGCCGCCGGGCGGGCCTCTCTGGTTCCTCGTCCTGCGGCCCCTTGCCCGTTTGTGCCTCTCCATCTCCGTTTGTCGGTTCCCCCCTTACTTCTCTGCTAGGCCCTCTGTCTCCCTATTTCTCGGCCTCTTTTGCCCTGGGTCTTTCTGTGCCGCCCACTACGACCACCTTGACCTCTCCAGCACCCCCTCCTCTTCTGCCCCGACCATGGTGACGCTAAGGACAACTGAGCCGGGGGACAAGCGTCTGGGGACTCGTCTTCCGCCGCTGGGGCACCGCTGTTTGCCCCTGGAAGCCCTCTGGTTCCCCAAAGTTGGAGGAGGGTGTGTGAGGGGTTACGGGGAGGGAGGGAGGAGAGGTTCTGCCCAGGTGGAGGAACGGGCTACCCCCAGGGCATGGACTTGTGCTGACCTTGAACCCAGCTCCTCACGGCCCAAGATAGGCAAGGGGATGGCCTGCAAGTACATCCCCCTCCCATGGGGCTCAGAAGGGGGCTTATTACCTGTCCAGAGACCACCTTTCGCTGCTCTTGACCTCTAGGCTTCATCTAGAGCCAGTGGAGAGCACTGTTCCTGCACTGGTACCCTCTCCTCCCTGGCTCTGTCCCCTGATACCTGGCTTTGTTTATCTCCCTACACTTACTCCAGTTCCCCATCGCCCACCCTAGCCTGTCCATGCAGGGTAAGCCTTGAGTTGACCTGGGGGTCAAAATCCAGACCCTGGTCCCACTCCCAACCCTGGTGCCCCTCCCAGCCCTGGTTCTCTCAGTGCAGGTGGGGCCCAGGCAGGTGGAGTTTCGAAAAGCTTCCAGGTGCTTTAAATGTAGCTGGGTTCAGAACCACTGGTCTGCATTATTGTCTCTATGGAGCTGTCATCAACTGTCATGTCACTCACACCTGCAGTTCATCATCTCTGTGCGTTTCTATATGTTCACTATGTGTTTCTATTCATCTGTATTGATCATTGACTTATTTACCAATGTCTGTCTATAGCTGACTGTATCCTTCATTTAGCCAGCATCCAGTCATATCATCTTGCAATAGCCTCATCAATATAGTTATATGTTCATTTGATAACTCATATTGGGCACTCTTAAAGAAAAAAGTATTCATGATCTTTATTAAAGACAGTGAAAAAGACTTCATTCAAGAGAGACTAGTGCAGTGGGTGTTTTGCAGTAGGGGTGAGAGATCGGGCTCAACTCCAAATACAGCAAGGAAAAGTGGAGATTTATAGCTAAGGAGCAGGATGGGGGTCAGTGGATGGAAAATGACCAAGAGGAAACATCAAGGCTAGCGGGATTTTTGCTGATGGCAGGCCAGGGTGATAAGATTGAGGATGGAGGATGAGGAATTTGATCAAATATGGAAGGTGATCAGATACCAAGGGTGGGGGATTTTTGCTAAACTGACTCAGCAGGATTCTTGCTACAACTGGACTCTACAAGGATGGAGATGGAAGCCCAAGGTCGAGCCTACTCGAGCAGAGGGCTCAGAGGAGCCTGACTCAGGTTTGGTCAAGGAGAAAGTCTTTGTAAGCACCTACTATGTGCCAGGCACTGTTTCAGGCACCAGGGATGCAGCAGGGGACAAAGCAAGGGCCCCTCCTCTCTTGGACAAACAAATATGTGTCAGGTAACAAGTCCTGGGAAGAGAAACACAACAGGGTAAAGAGGAGAGAGAGCAAGACAGGAGGTGCTAGTTATTGCTGATCTTATAGCTGTCCTAGTCCCTATGTGTCATCTATTTATCTACTTTCCACTTGTTTTCTTTTTATAATTTTATTTATTTATTTATTTTCCCCCCAAAGCCCCAGTAGATAGTTGTATGTCATAGTTGCACATCCTTCTAGTTGCTGTATGTGGGACGCCGCCTCAGCATGGCCAGAGAAGAGGTGCGTCAGTGCGCGCCCTGGATCCGAACCCGGGCTGCCAGCAGCGGAGCGCCTGCACTTAACCGCTAAGCCACGGGGCCGGCCCTCCACTTGTTTTCTAATAGCAATGGCCAAAGTGTCCTGAGCCCGTGCCAGGCTCAGCTCTGAGCACTTTTAAGTGAATAATCACCCAAGATTCTCATAAGAGCTCAGAAACCATCCTCCTCCTCATTTTAGGGGTGAGAAAGCTGAGGTTTAGAGAAGTTAAGTGATTTGCCCAGGGTCACAGGGGAGGAAGTGGCGGATTTTGCCCAGAACCCAGGCAGTCCAGCAGTGGAGCCTCTCTCCTTTGCTCTGGCTCCCTCTTCCTCAACTCATTGGCTGCCACTCTCCCCTCTCTCTGCCACCTTGAGTCAAAGGTGCCAGGTTCTCTCCTGCCTCTGAGTCACAGCCCATGCTGTTCCTGGAACACTCCTTCCTCTCTTCCACCCAGCTGATTCCTGCTCATCCTTCAGGTCTCCATTCAGACATGACAAGAGATTTCCACGTACTGAGGTACATGGGGTAACTATTCGGGTTCAAAACTGATTCGGCTTGAACTAAAAAGCCTGACTTATGACCTATCAAACATACATTGTACATTTGCTTAACCATGAAAGTAAAGAATGCACTCTCTTGGGGACAGCCCGGTGGCATAGTGATTAAGTTTGTGCGTTCAGCTTCTGTGGCCCAAGGTTCACAGGTTTGGATCCCAGGTGCAGACATACACACTGCTTATTAAGCCGTGCTGTGGCAGCGTCCCACATATAAAGTAGAGGAGGATGGGCACGGATGTTAGGCCAGGGCCAATCTTCCTCAGCAAAAAGAGGAGGATTGCCAACAGATGTTAGCTCAGGGCTAATCTGCCTCACCAAAAAAACAAAAAGAATGCACTCTCTTAAGATAAGACTGTTTCCCCTCCTACACCCTATTGGTAACCCCCTATTGGTAAGGCCTGGATTAGTCCCTGTCCTGACATCAGGGTCACGTTGACGTGCTAATTTGCAACTAAATATCTCTTTGAAACTTTGATGAAAATGTATCCTGGGTGTGTTTAATGTATGTTCTTTGTTCTAAAAAAGATTTAAGACTGTACTGAAAACATGCTTCTCTGGAACACTTTCAAAGGCCTTCCCAGGTTATAACCCTCACTCTGGCTCAAGTAAAACTCACCTTATTTCTCTTATCTATAGAATGTTTATTGGTTATTTTGAGTCAACAGATGTCCCTTTCTTTCTGGAGTCTCTCACCTCCCCATGCAAGCCCAGGGGTCCCCTCAGTATCCTCACATTCCTGGGTTTCCTCCATTAGAGCAATATCACACGATTGTAATTAAGTATCTTAATTACACATATCTGGTCCACCACTGTTCTCCCATGTCCAGCCAAATGGCTGGCATACATAAATATGAGTTGTTGAATGAAAGAATGTGACCTTACTGATACTTACATTTTAAAAACTTAGATGTGCCCAGCTCTTCGCAGTTATGAAAGGGCTGCCACACTCTTTTCCTCCGATTCCCACCAAAGCCCTGTGACTCGGGCAAGGCAAGCATTCCATTCCCATTTTACAGAGGGGTAAACTGTAAACTCCGGAGAGCTGAACTGGCAGAACTTGATTCCAACTCAGGTCCGCCTGATTCCAAACCCAGTGTTTAGTGCCAGGCACAGATCAGAAGTGAGTCACTCGACTCCAGCTCTCGGGGACACACTATCTGGTAGGGGAGACGAGGCACTTTTGCAAACAACTCCAGAAGAAGACGGAGAGTGGCAAGGGTGTAGGAGGATGCTGTGGGCATTTGAAAACGGGCGCTTGAAGGGCGGGAAAGACTTGTCCACGTGGGGACCGGTAGGGATAGAGGAGTCAGATAAGAGAGCTCAGACCGCCGCCGCCTCCTTCCACAAAGTCCCTTCCAACCTGATTGCTCCGCCTCAGTCCCTTCAAGAGCGGCCCCGCCTCACTCAGCCGCCCGTGTCAATCTAATCCCTATGGCCAATCATAGGAGAGAAAACAGGACTTCCGCGCCTCAACCGCACTTAGAGGGCGGGGCAAAGAGCTAGGAGAGGAGAGACCAGATTGGTCACGTGACCCACCCCATTGGTCTGAGGCCGGAGCAGCGCGGAGCGGTTCGGCGACGCTCATTGGCCAAAAGAGGATTGGCCCCTCGTGAGGCCACGCCCCCGGGCCCGCGAGGTTGGTTGCGCGGGCGCCGGGGACGGAGACGCTGCCCTTCCGCAGCGATGGGATCCCGGGTGAGTGGCGGCCCGGGTCGAGCCCGGCGGGCGGGCGGGCGGCGCGGCAGGGTGCGGGAGTGAGGCTGGCAGCGGGTGGGAGCCGGGCCTACGCGAGGCACTGGGTGCAGGCGCAGGTGTCGGGGCTCAGCCGGACTAGGAGGGCCCAGGTTGGAATGAGCAGGTACCCGGGCCGTGGGCGGCGCGAAAGGTGGAAGGAGAAGGTACCCGATCGGTGAGCAGATGCCCGGGCCTGGAACGTTGCGAGGATCAGGGCAGGGGCGCAGGTACCTGACGCGGGCTGGGAAAGTACCCGGGATGGAAGGAGCAGGTGCGCCGCCGGCCGTGGGCGGCAATAGTGGGTATCTGGACGACCCTCAAGGATATTCCGGGGGTCGGGGCAAGAGAGGAGGAGGCCTGACCCTGGGCCGCGAAAAGAGATGTCTGGGATGGAATGAGTAGATTCTGAAGACAAGGATATTGCTGAGGTCCAATTCGGGAGTGCCCCGTACCTGGCCCCGTCGGACTGGTGAGGTGTCCAGGGTGGAAGGAACGGAGACTGGGCAGAAGGTGGCTCGAGGGAGTGCCTGGACCGGGGACATTGCTGGGGTTAAAGCGGAAAGGGGGGCTGCTTAGGCCAGAGTCATTAATGGGATTGTCCAGGGCAAGGGAGGAGATGCCCTGGTGGAAGGTGTGGGTGTCCAGGCTAGAGATGTTGTAAGTGCCATGGTGGGGGTGGAATGAAGAGGTTCCTGCCCAAGGTTGTAGGGCGGGAGAGATGACTGCCCAGGTGGGGAAGGCATTAGAAGTGTCCACGGGCTGGGGGACATTGCCATGGGCTTGTCATCCTGGAGAAGTGCCAGGGGGATGGATAGGGCACGATTGGGCTGGATCTGGCTCCATCCCTGGCGTGAAGCCGGCTTGGGGGTGGGTGTTGTCACCTTGTACCTACCACTCTTCTTCTCACTTGGGACAGCAGAGATCGCTCTTGTCTTTGCTGCAGACAAACGTCAGGCCTCCAGCCCTGTCTCACTCTTGGAGCGTGTGTTCAGGCTCATCTCCATAACTTCATATGGTCTTCTCACTTGAGGGCCCGGAAGTCCTTCTGGTGTGGCATCGAGGGAGAGGTGGTGGTTGTAGCAGGCAGCTCAGGGGAAACACCACAGCCTTGGGGTCCCCCAGAGCTGAGATCACATCCCAGCTTGGCTATTTACTCAGTGACCTCGGTCAGGTGGCTTATCTCTCAGAGGCCCAGTTTCCCCATCCTAGACAGTGGTTGTTGCAAGGGTTCTGTAAGTGACTAGACTAAAAGCCCTCCTTGGAGAGCCTGTTCCTAGCCTGGCCTGTAGTAAGTGCTTGGGAAAGAGTAGCTGCTGATCCTCTGATGTGCTTGTCCCTCCTCGTTCTGAGGCGTAGGCCAGGTTGGGGGAGTGAGGGGGTGGCTTATGATATTAACCTGGGCCCTGACCGCTGGAGGTCACTTAGCTCCATTTGTAGGCTCCTGGCAGGATGTCTCCTACCCTTGACAACAGGACAGATTCCTCAGCCCTAGAACATTTCTCTGCCACCCCTCTCACCCACACACAGCTTAGCCCTAGAGCTACACTGATGGGATTGTCCATCCTTCCCACTCACTGGGGATAAGCCGTTTCTCGTGCTGGTCCAGTGACTTTGGCCGCCGTCCCAGGTACACAGGGTCTGTCCCAGGCTGCATATTCCTTCCGCTTGAGGTCCCACGAGACCTTGCAGGCATCCTTGGCCTTGGTGGTGGCGGTTGGGGAGCGCCCTGCAGGCTCTTGGGGACTGGGCTATGTGTGGTCAAGCCACTGGTCAGCGAAGGCCATTCGCTGGCCTTGGAATGGGGCAGTGGGGTACCCTGGGGCTCTCAGAAGGCCCCAGGGGGAAGTTGCCCTTGTAGTCTGTGGTTCTGCTGGGGGCTTGCCACTTCATGCTCCATATTAAATTTAGCAAAAGGGTAGTATTGAGCACAGATTCTAAAGTCCAGTAGACCTTGGTCCAAGTCTTGATTCCACCTCCTACTAGCTGTGTGACTTTGGACTCCTGACTTAGCCTCTCTGAGTCTCAGTTTCCTCATTGGAAATTGGTGGGATTAGGGGGTTGGGGAGGTAGATAGCAAGTACTTCACAGAATTGTAATGATTCAGTGAAATAACATATGTAAAGAACTCAGCATGAAATACACACATAACGTGTAGTAGCTTAGTATTTGAGGAAATGCCCTGCTGTTTTCGTAATACAGTCTACCGGAAGTAAAACATTCCTGGCTTTGGGGGAGGTGAAAAAGAGGTAATGATTCTCCTCAGGGTCCTGACCCTTTAGAGGCCTGAGATTTTTGTTTAGCAAATGGGCCATGGGTTTAAAAAGATTGAGAAAGTGTGGCAGAAAGCCCCAAGTTTGAGAGTGACCTTTTCATCTCCCAGCCCTGGGTCCAGTCTTGGGCCAGCGTACCAGAGACGCTGCCTTCTGCTCCCAGGACTCGGGTGGGCAGGTCTCTGGAGCATTCAGTGCCTCCCTGCTGGCGGGTACAGAAGGCTGCGGCCTGGCCGCAGGCTTCGCTCTCGTCTCATTTCCCAGGGCACTCTTGTGTGCGTTTCTCTATGCTCACGCGCGCGCGTGCTTGTGTCTGACTTGGTCGTCTTTCTCAGCTCTGTGGAGGGAACCTCTGGTATGTGTGTCCCTGTCCACTTGGGCCCTGGATGGTGCCCGAGACCCAGCCAGCAGCCAGTTGAAGACGTTCTCCTTGGAAGCTCTCAGCCCCGAGGGCTCCTGCCTGGGGTGCTGGTCCTGCCATGGCGTTCCAGAGGACTGAGGGCATGTCCGTGATCCAGGCCCTGGCCATGACAGTGGCCGAGATCCCTGTGTTCCTGTACACGACATTTGGGCAGGTAAACATTGGGGTGGGTTATGGTCTTCTCCTTCACTCCTCTGGTCCCTGAAACATTAGACCACTCATCCCAGGGTCCCTCAGCATCTGGGAAAGCTGCGCCCTCACTGCTGTTCTAGGCATCTGGTGTCTCTTTGATCAGAACAAGAAGGACTGGCTTAGGCCTCGAGCCTGGTCTTTACCCCAGGGCCATATGGACTCTTGACCTCAGTTTCTCCTTCTATAAAAGGGGTCAGTAATGCCCCTTCCTGCCAACCTCAAATGATTGAGGGCCTCTTGATGCTTCCTAAAGTGTCTGTCCTGTGGGATAGAGCTCCACCCCAGGGGCTCCCAGTCCAGAAGGCAGAGAGTGAGGGAGGAGCAGGGAAGCGTACAGAGGCAACTGTCGGGTAGAGTGAATGTCTCACCTTCGAGGTGTCATTAAGAAATGGGGTCGGCTGACCTGGGTTCAATTTCTTTCTTTTTTTTTTTTTTT